ATAAACATATAAAATTTGTTAAGATGTATTTTTCTTCTTCTTGTAAATCAATAAACAATTTAAGCTCTATGATATACAACATCATCTAACATTCACATAAAAATTCATAATATAGTAAAGGTGGTGATTGATTAATAATACGGGAGTTTAATTTTAAATATGTATGTATTTTTTTTTCATTAATAAAAAAAAAAAAACAAAAAATAGTAATAGGGATGTCAATCAATATAAATCATTCTTGGTTTTGATCACGATTTTTATGTTTGTTTTGATAAGTAGCGATAAAAATCTGGAATTTTAGTGATTTGAATCCTAAAAAAATTAAAAATCAAAATTAAAATACAATTTTTTTAAAAAAATGGCTATATTAATATTAATATAGTTTATTTCATACTTTTTTACTGTTAAAGCTTTTTGGAAACAAATTATATCTCCATTTTGTATTTCAGATTGATCAAATGTTGATTTTTGGTTCATTTCTTTTATCATATTGGGATCAATTTCCTAATAATAATAATCAATATTTATTAATTTATTAATAATAATAATAAACAATTAAGTTTAAAATTTTATAATTATAAATCATAATGCAGTGAATGGCACATACTTCATATACATTGAGTGGAGTATTTACTGGGAAGTTCTTTTTTTTACATAAAATTGGATAAATGTCACCAACTTTACCAGATCCTTGTACATAAAGAGAACCAAGACATCTACATGATATACATAGGTATGTATAAATATAAAAAAGTAATTGTCAAAATATTAAATTCAAAAAAATATATCTGTAACACATACTCTAAAGTTTGTGTGCAAGGATCAAAAAATTTCAGAAATACTAAAGATTTTCCACCTGGTGAAGGAAACCAAGTCTAATAAATAGATTTAAAAAAATTGATTTTGGATTTTGTCAAAATATATTTAAATGAAAATCTAATAAAGAATGAACGAATAATTTACATTGTCAATTAAAGGTTTATCTGCAATTTCCAAATATAATGTATTCTTGTATGGCATTAATTTAGCACAAATCTCATCCATTGCTAATACATAATGATCAAAAAAATGAATAATTGACACATGCAAAAATATTAAATTATTAAAAAAAAGATGAAAAAATTGAAATCATACTCAAATTAAAATAATCAGATGATATCAATATGTCAGGTCTGACAGTTTTATTTTGCCTTGGTCCAAAAGCCCAAAAATGAATTTGTTCAGGTTGTTTTTCATATTTGACTGCTACCTTCTGTTTAAAATGATTGAATGGAGTTGTTTTAAGAATTTTCATTACAGGAAGAGCTGATATAAGATCTTCTTGATTACTAAGATTAGCAAGGTCAAGTCCTTTATGTACTTTGAAAGTATCTTCAGTGATGAACTTTTTTTAAAAAATATATATTAATAAACTTTATGCAAATAATTCATATATAATTCCAAATTAATATTTAACAAAAATTTGAATAAAAAACACTCAACTTTTATGTACACATAACTTTCATTGGCTTCATTTTTTGAAAATATTATTAAAATATATTTTTCATTTTTACTATATATTAGATTTAAAATTAGAAATTAAGAGTTTTATTTTAAGTTTCAATTAAACCTTTACCTATTATTCTTGGTCCTTTTTGGAGTAATAACCTTGGTTGCCATTTATTACTAAGATTGTATTCAAGAATTTCTTTATAAACTTCTTTATCAAAAATATTTTTGAATGGTAAAATTCTTTCAAAAAAATCATTTGAAGAAATTTGATCAAATCTTATTAGTGGAATAATCTCTTCTAATGTATTTTTCAATTGTTTGAAATCATCTTTATTCCACTCTGAAACACTATTTTTCAACTCTTTATTTTGCCAAATTCCTCATTGAATAACATAATCCCATATTTCAATTTCATTTAATTCTAAATCATCTTTCTTTAATATAGTTATTAGCATTGATTTTTCAATAGTTACAAATTCATTAGATTTAATTAATGATATAAGATTTTCATCAATTAATACATCATAATGACATTGAAGTAAATTGAATGTTCTAATTTTATATTTTGATAAAAATTTATGAATGTGAACTAAATTAAGTTGAATCCATTCTCTTCTTTTAACAAGTAAATGTTTTTGCAGATCTTCAATTAATTCATCAAAGCATAGTTCATTACATGCTTCAAGTAGTTCAAGAATTTCATCTGGCTTGAGATTATTAACATTGACAAAACCATTATAAATATATCTTTAAATGAAAAAAGAGATTTTAAACAAAAAAAACATAATTAATTAATTAATATTAATAATTTATATTAAATTAATCTTACAATAAGAGAACTTCAAATATTTTTGGAGAAATATTTTCTTTTTCAAATAAAATGAGTCCATCAGATTTTTTTGCCCAATTATTTGACAAAGCTGCTTTAAAATACAAAGATCTTGATTTCAAAATAGTGGAATGAGCTTTAAAAGTTTTAATGTCTTCACCTCCTCCAACTCTAATTTCTACATCATAAAAATCCGATTTATCCAATAAGTTTGTTAGATCGTTTACAAGTTTATCAATATATTTTATTTTTAATGGTAAAGTATCTTTATTGAGTTGTTGTAAAAATGAAAAACTATCGTTAATATTAAACATTTTTTTAAGGTTTTATTTATTTTAAATAATAATAATTGTTTAATTGCCGATCCGCAAATGAACTGAGAATTTAACAGTGATCGGCGAGGCAAAATTAACAATTAACAAAATAAAGTACTAGTTTTTTGTATTAGTGATTTTTTTTATGAATGAAGAATCCCATAGAATACTATATTTAAGAATTAAAAGGCTCGGAAACTTTTCTATGTAAGTATAGGAGATTTTGAATATTCAATAACATAATAAAATTCTCAAATTTCAAAAATGTTTACCCTTTTAATAAATTCAAATTAATATTAAAATTGAGTTGTATTATGAATAGAAATTCTAGTCATAAGTTCCATCCAAAAGAAAAAATAAAGATTGATATTTTTGGTATTTGTATTTATTGCTGAAAGCCTGATTTCAACATCAGAAGTTGAAACGGATTCAGATGATGTAAAGAGTAAGAAGGTATGCTTCCCTAGATAAATTTCATTTTTCTAGTTAGGAACACTAGAAGTCATCTATACAAAATTCAGCAGAGATAAGAAGCGTAAATGGAAACTTCTATCTCTCCAGCCGGAAGTTTCAGTAATCACAAGAAAATCGGGTCTGATGACGGAGTTGAACATAAACGCGAGTTTACAGAGGAATTCCAAAAAAAAATGGAAAACAACAAAAAATGAGTCTTGACATCTCGAAAAGTTGTTGACGATGAATTGTACAAGTTTTGAATGAGATGCCGTTATAAACACTAAATTCCTATTGTTTTTAATCAAGTTATTGGTTTTTTAAATTAAGCCATCAACACGTCAAAAGTCTCTGTCATTCTTTTTTATTGATCCAGATGACAGAAGTTTCGTCGAAGAAAAGGTCTCCGCAGAATCTGAACTCAAGGAAATTCGTACATACAAACCAAAACCACTTTTAGATATCCCCAATATTTGTTAGGATATCTTAGTAGTTATCAATTGGTGCGTATTCCAATGATATTATGTGCTTCGGTCATTGTTCATAAATGATATTTTTGACAACTTCTTCATTTGAATTTCTGACCTCAAAACACAGGTTTTTAGATCGGAGCCATGGAAATCACTCTACAATCGACAAAAGGATTTGCTGTTGTCTCAAATAGAAATGTTGGGATCACCTTCCCAACTTTCACAACTGGTTTCACAGAAAAATGCTATATATCTCAAAGAACAAGTTAAAAAAATGTAAATAACTTCAATTGAAAAGCAGAGGGAGAACTAATTACGCACCATTTAAATTAAAATAAAATCGAACCCTGTAAAAAGCATCCTTAAAAAACTTTTATAGTTTTAAGTTTATTTTTCGTTTGAAGAAAGTGCTTCTATGGCAATAACATGAGCCATGAAAGATTTTAAGTAGCTTGTAAGATGGCTAAAATTGCGATATCCAACATGCAGAAGAAAAAATCGAAGAACGGGATGTTGCTTATCAAGAATTCTTTGATAAATATGACCACTCTCAGTTATTTAGTAATCAAGTTTTATTACTTATCAAGAAATGAAAGCAGGAAAAAAGAGAATGAAGATTTAAAATACTATAAAAGTAAAGGAAACAAAAGCATGCAAAACTTTTTTGGGATAAATGTAGCAATTGGAAAAAACAAAAAACAGGAAGATTTTTAAGTATAGTTGATTTGAATACTAGTTTTACTTGACTAGATAATATGTATGATGACTAGGGATGTTAAAAGTCTGGTCCAGCCTAAGAATGGTGAGTCCATGCTTGGAACGGACCGAACCATCGGACTTAAACCTTAGTCCGGGATATTAAACATTATTATTATTAGTGTTCGTCCATCATATGACAAAAAAATCAAGATCACAACTATAAGGTTTGAACAAGTAAACTTGTAAAATTGCGAAACTTAAATGAAACTTTGTATACATATAATTAAAGCTACTGGACAGTGTACTTTTGTTAATAAAGTTTTATTGAAAAGGTAGTGTGAAGTTCAACATATGTTGCGAATTCTATTAGTAAAGTTACGATTCTTGTCTTCTAGTATATTTTTTTGTTAAATTAAGGAAAACTAAATGAATAGTCTTCAAGTTAACCTTAACAACTATCGATTTATAAAAAAAAACAATAATATTTCATTTTATATTATTATATACATATAGTAATAGCAATAATAGAAATGGGAACACCTTGGCACGAATCATCACTGGCTTCCAACATCAGCTACAAACTCTTTATATGAGCAAACAATTCACATTTAATAATGGATACAGACGAGAAAAAATCTTCAAATATTTTACTTATGGCACAGGCTTTCAAACGTTCTACTCACAATATTATATTAATATTTATCATATAACTGTTAATAAAAATGTCAACCTTATACCAGGCTCCTAAAACAACTCACCTATATAGTTTTTTAATCTTTCTTCGATTATTGGTTGACGAATTGCCTTGATTATATTGTTCTTGAAATCTCTATGTTCAATTTCCTTTATATAAGTAAAGGTATTATTTTGTAGTTAAAATAAGCAATTGGACTCAAATTAATACGGGAAAAAGCTCCATGCATTAGTTGTGGTAGTTAAGGTAGAAGGATTGATTATAAAATTTCAAAAAGAAAATTTTGCATTTCTATATGTACCCATGTAACCACCCTTAATATAATTTTTTATTTTGGATATATAACAATATATATATCGATATGAGACTATCTGTGTATCTTTGTTTATTTTGTTGCTTATTCCATTATCTTGTCTGACTCATCGAAGATTATTCTTTTTTTGACCCCCCCTGTGACATAAGCGTTCACTTTGTCTGGTTTTGTTGCAAGAATAGGATATGTTTTTATATATTATTTATTATTATGAAATAAAATAAAGATGAATAATAATAATATAATGATAATAATATAATGATAATAATAATAGCAAAATGCAAAATAAATACAAAGAAAGAAATAATAATAATAAAGTCAATTATTTTTGATCCTATTCATTTGGTGTATATATATATATAGTATTCTAATTATAATTAATTTGCTCAATTTATTTTCAATTTATTAATTTTTAAATTAATTAATTATTAATTAATATATATATATATATATATATAATATAATATGTTAGCTAATTATATAGTCTATATATATATATAAATTATATTTATTCTTCTTCCATAGGCAAATCGGCTGGTTTAACAAGACCTGGAATTTTCAACGCATTTGCCATTTCTGTTTTCTTACGAAGTTCGGCCTCAGCTTCTCTTTCCTCAAGATATAAATCTGCATTATCGCCTGCAAACTCTTTAAGTTGAATAAGAAAATCACGTAGATGTAATTTGAATTTCATATTATCTTGATTTAGTTCAAAAAGCCCTATAACAAATGAATGAAGTTGTGCGCTACATATATATATATATATTATAATTATATTAATAATTGTTATATTGTTATCATTATAAGATTAAAAAAAAATACAAACGGTTGTAAATGTGTAAAAGCATTCTGTAATAAATTTATAACATATTCTCTTAAATATCGTTGATTTGTCATCTCAGGATCTCTAATTTCAGGACTAAACAAAGGCGCTTGTACTACTCCTGATTCCACAATTGAAAACATAAATTGAAGTACTGCACATTGCATTTTAAATCCTTTTTTGATATATTTATTTATTTATTAATATATATTTTTTTAAAAATTAACAAATAATTAATTCACCAATTCAAATAATACCACTTACCACTTTTGTGATCTGTATCTGTTAAAACAAAGAATACATCTTGTAATAAATTAAGATAATATTGTTGATAGAATGCATTTGCTACCGCTGACTCTTGATTTGAAATATTGTTCAGGAGTTCTAAACAAATATGTAATCCAGTATCTGCAATATCTCTCATTGTATGCTTAAATGCCCATACAATACTATCCATTATAAGTTTAAATTGTGCTGCAGGTAATGTAAGTAACGCTATTAAATAATAAATGTGTAAAAATACAAATTTATTTCGTCATTTTTATTTTATTTTATCATAGATATATAGAAATATTTAACCATAAATAATAGTAACCTGGGAAACAGTGTTGATTAATGGCTCGAAGTAATTTAAAGAATCCAACGCGATGTTCAGGGTATTCCGAAAAATCTTTATTAATCATATTTAGAGTACATTCAAACACAGCACTCAATATTGAGGGAATTTCATTCGTGATGCTAGCCTACAATATATATTAAAAAAATATAGAAATAATTAAACAGTGTAAAGGAAACTCTCGCATAAAATATTAATTCAAATAATACACAACACATACCCCCAATTTTGATATAATAGCTGCCATTGAACTTAGCACTTCAGCGTCTCTTGCAGGCTCTACGTTTGTATTGTAGTCGATAAGAACTGATGTTAAGAATGGTGGCATTAAATGTGTTATGATTTGACTTGTATCTTCTGCCTTAGTTATATAAACTTCCATTAATTTTAATGTTTCTTTTTTGATAACCCTTAAATTACGTACACGTGGTGTTTTTGTTGCAATCAATCCTTTTTATTAATAAAATTTGATTATTTATTTGTCATAAATAAGTAAATTAATAAAACAACTTATGCACACTTCTTCAAGTGTAAACAAAATAGAAAAAATACTCGTACCATCTTTTGCTACGCTATCTGATATAAGCTGACTGACTGCTTTGTATAATTCAAATAAACTAAAATAAATTCTAGCAATTTGAGTTGAAAATCCGCCACCTACCGCACTACATGCAGCTACATTAGTTTTTAGAATGTGCCCTAACATTTTAGTATTTTCAGGCACATTTAACGCATCCAAGTTTTGAGAAATTTGTGTCAATATTCTATCCCACTAAAAATGATTATATATAGATTTATTAGTTTGAATTTTGATTTTTTAAGTTTTTAGAAATTCCTCGTTAAAAAATTTAACATACTCCTGCATTTGGAAGCTCCATATATTGAGCAACCAATCGTTCTTGTGCAGTCTTATTAGTTTGTGCAGATATCATATAACCAACAGCTTCATAAAAAGTTTGAACCTATATCAATAGGCAAGTTATATAAATAGATTTGATTAAAAAAATTATATAATACATCTACTAAATATACATCTGTATATTTTCCTTAATTTTAATACCTGTTGATGTGATAAATCTTTCGTAATAGTTTCAATTGTATTCAATATTTCATCAACGAAAGGTACACTTTCACCTTGTTGCGGTATAATAAATTGACGTCGACATTTTTGTGCTATTTTAATAAAAGTATCACACGCCATATCTTGTACACCTGTATTAGTGTTGTAAATTTCAATAAGTATTGAATTTAATTAATTAATTCAATTTAAATTAAAATACATATAGTTAAGACGTGCCTTCATGTGTTTCGTGCATAAACTCGAATAATTTATTGACAACAGTTTTCAAAAATTTCCAATGAGCCTTGAGAAACCGAGGATATTGCCCGACAATATACATGATATTTGATGCAACTATGGCCTTGTTCTCTTTGCCTCGTTTTTGTTCACATAAACCTAAAAGTTCTTTAATAACAGTTACCAAAAACCGTTTTTCTGTGTCTTCGTCTATATTCAACAAATGACAATAACAACACACAAGTATATAATCAATATCCTGTGACTTTTTTTTCAAAAAAATAAAATAAAAATAAAATATCTTACACATTGCGCCAGAAATAGAACCAATTGCCCAACAAAGTTTACATAGATTATTCCATGACCATTCTGATCCATCAACCTTCATTCAAAAAAAGAAAATATATATATAAATTTATTCTAGTTGGAATATCGATATTCAAAAGAAAAAGAATAGTTATTACCTGTTTAGTTAATTTGTTTGACATAATACTCTCGGTATCCTGTACATCTAAATTTGTCAGGTAGACCAAACACTCGCGCATACTTTTGTATAAAGTGATTGTATCACTATCTTTCATAAATTCACGAATAACCTCACCCTCTTCATTTTCAACCACAAGAACCTGAAAATTTAGTTAGTTACATCTGTAAGTGTCGTTATGAATACATAACACATTATTTTTTTTATTTAAAAAAAGGAAAGGGCGTCACTTACCTCTTCTGGTTTTACCATACGATCAATCATAACAACTCTTAAATTTGATAAAATGTCAACGTAAATATGTTTTCTCAATGGAATGTTGGCAAGAGAGGTAGGGGCTGATGAAACACCAGTTAGAGAAAGAAGAGGCATTTCAAGAACAGGTAATTGTGTAATTTCAGCATATAAATCGCTGGACTATAAATTAAATTAAAATTATTAATATCATTAAAATAAAAATATTATTGATTTTATTAATAATGATAATAAGTATAATTACCAGTCTACTCCAATATTCCAAACAAACCTTGAAAACTTCACGTTCTTCAACTTGGGAAATACGAAGGAGCCAGTAATGCGCAGTTATAAGAGCGGAACGGTTCTGTGGTAACTCCAATATCTAAGAGAACAGTCCAAGCAAGATTGAGCTATAGTAACATTGTTTTTATTTTATATTTATATATATATATATATAAGGGGTTTTTTTCTTTTTTTTTTTCTTTTTTTTTCATATAATTGATTCTCAATTTCTTGATAATTAATTATTAGATCCGGTTGTTTTTTGGCTTTTAGTTATTAATGATATTAATGGTAACAGTAATAATAATAATAGTAGTACCTTTAGGTGAACAGTTAAAAAACTTGTCAAGAACAACGCTAAGTTTTGGATAAATTCTTCGAATTCATTAGAGCTGTTATTATAAAGAACGGGCAATTCTACTAATAAAACAGAATATATTATATTATTATTTAATAATAAGCTATATTTGTTACGATAAATTAATAAATGTTTTTGTTGTAGTTGTAGTTGTAGTTACCGTTTTCAAGTGGTATCAATTTGTCTAGTGACGTCACAACCATGCTAAAAAGTTGAATTAGTTTGGTGCCATGTTCCGGATCTATGCTTATTGCTGCAATCTCAGTCATGCACTTTAATGATAAATTTCTATAATCATCCAATTCTATAAACTAGAAAAGAAATTTTTAAAAAATGTTTATCAACATATAAATATGTGTATATCAATCAATCTATAATAAATAACAAATAAATTTTTACTCTAGTCCATAAATTATCAATTATACTAGTTTCAAAGATGTATCCCAAAGGAATCCAATTTAAAAATTTTAAAAGCGTTTCCAAAGTTGCTTTAATTAAACTTGTTTGATTGGCTGTTTGTAAGACTTCGTTACAAAGTTCAAAAATCTTTGAAAATTCATTACACATTCTTGCTTTCAAATTTTTTGTTTTAATTTGTGTCATTTGTTCAGCAGAATAATCGAAAATCTCTTCACTAAAACCAAAAGGGATCAAGTTAATTTATTTATTTATACATATTCTCAGCAATAATAATCTTTATTATTATTATAGAGACAACTTGCCTTAATAATTTTAAAATTGCCATATTATTTTCACATATATTTAAATTTGAACGTCCAGTACTAACAATCTCAGGAATGAATTGTGGCCAATTATGTGGCCATTCTTGTTTAAGTATCTTTTTTTGATTTTTGAAAAATACATTAGCACGCACACGCACACACATGACATGTTATAATTTTGTAAAGAATATATGAATTGTTGTTGTTATTATTAATACCTGTACTAGAATCAAATTAAGTTTACTCAAATAAGTTTTCTCTTTATGAAGTGATTGTTCATTCTCAGAAGTTGCAACTATTATACTGACAATGAAATTACGAATTCCTGTTGATCATAATACAATTTGATAGATTAAAATTAATTGGTGGTTAACGAATTAATAATTAAAATCTTTTTAAAATAAATTATTTTGAAAACTTTATTGTGTGTAATACATGCCCATTTGTTGTTCAGGAGGAAGAATCTTCCATCTTGTTTGAATAAGTTTTTCAAGAATTTGTAATGCAATATACTGAATTAATCAATATCGAATATATATAATTATATATTCATAATATAATTTAATATATATATAAATCTCATGCAATTAATCAATAACACACAATAGACATTAGTTAAAAATTAATTTGAACCTTTGTATGAATATATTTGGATTTATCTAAAAGAGAATCAACTTTTAACCAAGCATCAGGATGTTCTTTAAATTGAGTTAAAATTCGTTGAGCCAGTTGTTGCTAAACAGGAAAAAATCAAAATAATCACGTTCATTAATCAATACTCAATCTTAAAGAGACGCGTTGGATAAATCAATAATATATGTGATGTTTCTATGACAAATCAAACCTGTTCTCCAACACCAGTATAAAATGTTTTGACAACTAGATCTAACTTATCAACGTCAAGATCTTGTGAGAAATCTAGAATGCTCTGATCAAGTGTGTTTTAAATTGTAAAAAATGTAAAAACGCGTCGATTCCAATTTGTTTACATTTTGACATTAGTAAGATCAAAAGTAGTTGATAAATCTAATAGTAGCTACTTTATATTAAAATTTTTACCTCCATTATCAGATCTATTGATTTTTTTTAAAGACTCTTTCAACAGTTATGAATCAGAATCAAATATTAATAATAATAGAAAGATATATATATAAAATATAGATATATATAAGTCAGATCTAAAAAGAGCTTAAGGTTAAATAAGAAAAAATATATATAAATTACTAGTAAAATAAAGCGAAACACACAAATATGATGGTATCGCGTCTCAACCAGGAATTTTTATTAATTAAAAAAAAAGAATACTTTATAGTAAGTAGTACAAAGAATTTTTATAAAATGCTTGGAAGTAAATTTTTATTTTATATTTATTTTTTTTTAGAAAACAATAAAGAATTTGAAAAAAAAAATTTACAAGTTAATTGTTATTATAAAATTATAATATATAACATAAAAAAAATCGTTGTGACCTAAAGGACACTAAGTAAAGGGGAAAAAAAAAAGATTCGGATTAATCTGATTTGCCAAAATTATAAATTTAAATGATTATTAATCAATAGTGTAACGTGATGATTTAAAAACTTTTGATTTTTCTCCTTTATTAATATAAGAAATAGTTAATACAAATGCCAGTGTCAACAGACCAAATAAATGTTAATTGGACACTGGAGAATTTAGAGGTGAGAAATATGATTAATCATGATAGATTCAATGATTAATTCATTCACAAATAAATTCAATTCATAGACTCGCATAAAAGATAATAGTGAATACATAAATTCATTGATAGGTTTAATTCCTCCAAAATATTATTTCAAAAACGATGTGAGTGCTTTTCTTTCAATTAGAAACGATATGATATACCATAACTTTTTTCATTGATCATTCTTTTGTTTTGGGGTAAAAATATATTAGCCAAATAATGATGAAACCAATAGCAATACTAAAATCAATGATGAGTTTCAGCCTAATAAAAGGAAAAGGTTTTCCAAACAAGAATTGAAAAAACAGAAAAAAGAGGCCAAGAAACAAAAGGTTAAAAATAATCATGAATTAATGAATTTTATTACTTTAAATAAAATTTAACAACAACAATAACAACTATTATTATTATTAAAATAATGTTTAATAGCTTGATCCAAATAATTTAAAGACAGTGTTGGATATTCATAAAGAAAGATTGTTAAATATTAATCAACAAAAATCATCAATTGATAATGATGATGACGACGACGACGACGATGATGATGATGAGGAAGATGATAAAGAAATTAATGACGATAATGATGATTTTGATGATGATAAAAGTGAATCAGAGATAGATAATGAAGAAAAATCAAATCAATCAATCCATCAACTTCAACCAAAAGTTCAAATATCGACTGCAGAACGACTTGCTAGAATTCGTCAGGTAAAAGAATCATCATCATCACAATCATTGATTAAATCCAATACAAAGAAGAGTAAGCAAAAAAGAAAATCCGAAGAGAAGAAAAAAAAGAAGCAAAAATCCAAGATTAATAAGCAATTGAAAAAAGAAAGTGTCAACAACAACAACAACAATAATAAAGAGGCTTTACATAATGATGACCATGATGTCGCTGATGACGGAAATAAAAAAATTAAATTTGCAAAATTCGATTTTGAACAAAAAAATAAAAAGACAAAGAAACAAGATAATATACATCTTATAAATAAAGTTAATTATTATGTCGATATTATACAATGTATACTATTTTATTATTTTCACGTATTGAATATAATTGTTCTCCTTTAGCTAAAGAAAAAATCAGAAAATTTTAAGAAATTGGAACGAAAAGATCCGGAAAAAGTTAATATTACATTATTATTTTTAATTTATGAGAGGAATTATAATATTAATTGAATTATATAATAGGCAATGATAGTTAAAGAAAAAGATGCTTGGAATAAAGTTTTTCGGAAGGCAGAAGGAGAAAAGATTAAAGATGATTTAAAATTATTGAAAAAAACAGTTAAAAGAGGCGCTATTAAAAAGAAGAAAAGTGAAAAATCTTGGTATACATAAATAATCGTTTTAAGAGATAGCCGAAGACCTTTTTCATTCTTTTAACAAAAATGTTTATTATTATTACCATTTAGGAATGAACGTATTGAAACAATTGCTAAAAATATAAATGAAAAACAAGAGAAACGAAAATCCAATATTCAAACAAGAATCGAAGAAAAAAAGAAAAAAGTATAAAAAAAATTTCCTGATTATATTATTCATATATTATTATTATTATTCATGGTTGACTAACGGTTTTTTTTCTGTCTAGAAAATGAAAAAACGTAAATAAAGATTTTTGATTTTTTTGTTCCAATATCTCATTTTTATTATATATATCCTATATAAGGTATAAATGAATATATGTGGCTATAATTGGTATATTGATAAAATAAAAAAATACAAATATACATCTATTTATAAAAAAAAAAGATAATTTATATGTTACAATTCAAAAGTTTCAGTGTGTACTATGAAAAGACCCTTCCGAGTACTTTGTGATGTAGCAGCGTTTTTTACATCTTTAAGCATAAGAGATGGACCGCAAACACCAACAGCCACATCTCCTGAGCTTTGATATCTTTTAGCACTTTGCATTATTCCTTCAAATTTTGGTCTACCAGCATGTAATATTGACGAAGTTGAAATATTATCATTTATATTTGGTCTTGTGACAAAAACTTGTATATCTAATATGTAAGAATTATTTGCTATTATATTAAATTTATCTTGAATTTCTTGAAGTTCAGTTGAAAACCAATGGTATGAATCTAAATTAAATAAAAAAAGTATTAATTATCTTTATAACAAAACCTAAGATACTTTGTATATAAATCCTTACCAAGATTAGGAACAGCCCATACGAAATAAATTGTGTTTGTTGCAATCGTCATACCAGAAACTAAACGATCAACTAAATTTCTCAATATGCTAATCATAGGGGTAACTCCAATTCCACCTGAAAATAATATTACAGTATCATAATCCATGAATTGTACACTTGATTTGCCATATGGCCCTTCTATGCTTATTTTTAAAGTAGGATTCATCACATATGATTCTCTTGACGCTCTATCAAATAACAAATTAGTGAATTTGCCAATTGTTTTTAAATGGATTGTTGAGATATTATTGTTTAATGATAATGGAGAAGTAGGAGAAGAAGATATTGACACAGGATGCCAAGCTAGAGTTGATAAAGGTTTCTTTAGATTTGAAAAGTTTACAAAAATGTATTGTCCAGCTTCATAAAACATGTTATATTTAAAGGTAACTTTTGTGATGTCATTATTAATTGTTTCTAATTTAATGATTTTTGCATTTTTCATTGATAAAAAGAATCTAATTGAAACGTCAATCAAGTAAAGAGAAATTCCTAATATTTCAAAATAAAAATTGCTTGGTGCATGAATAATACTTGCAATAACAAAAGCTATGAAACCAACAATGTGAGCCCAATAGAAAATTTCAAAATATCTTCTTCTGAATATTGAAAGAGAGGATAATCCTAGTAATACTAAAGCAAGAAAAGCTATAAAACCTCTTGTATAAATAATGTTTCCAAATACTGTTGTATATATATCACCCACTTCGTAATACCTCTTTTGTATATGACCCATGCCATGAAACATTATACAAACAATTATCATTCTACCAACCCATCTATGAAATTTAATGATGCGTTCATAAGATATACCCATGAATGTTAAAAATATAGAATTACGAGTAGCTAAAGGGAATACAAAAGCAGCATTTGCTACACCAATCCAACCAACTCTGTTATTTAGGTCAGTTGATAAGTTGACATTTGGCGATTGAAATGGATAAAATATGTAAATTAAATTAAATGAAATGAAGAATAGTAAAAGAATTATTTCTCCAATGCTCATATCACCAACACCTGTGATATGGATGATGGTATTCCACATTTTATGAAACCCGACTTGCACGAAAGAATGAATTGGACTGATGTCGATTCCTTCCTCCTCCTCTTCAGATTTTTCCCTTGAGCCATCCAAATTAATTTGTGACCGATTTCTTTTTCTACGATTTAATAAACGTTTAAATTGAGAATATTGATAGGGAATTGCGAAAATAACTAATAAACTAATAACAGTCGATATTTGATAATAAGCAGCCGAAAAATCAGGCGAAGAGTCCATTTTTTGTTTTATTTTGTCTCTTACGAAAGAAAATATACATATAAATAAATAAAAAATGATGCGATTGATTTTGTATGATTTTTCTAAATAAAATTTTAAGGCTGTGCTAATGATACTTGTATAAAAGCCACACCAAATTAAATTGTTTTTTGTAAACATTTTTAAAGTAAAAGCATTAATATTAATAATACTTTTAGTTTTTTACCCTCGAAAGAATCTTGCTAATCATTTATTAATATTAATGAATCCCTCAGATGTCGCAAACTTTACACTTTTTTTCAAGTCATAAAACAATTCGTCGATCCTTATTTAAAATTAATGAATGCTCTCCTTTTCTTCTTTAGGCGGATTCGAATATTTCAAATATTATAGTATACAAATATTTTTTGCATATTTCCTTTTGTCGATTGTCTTTGTTATTCTCCTTGATATTAATCTTTGCAGTCAGTAATCGATATACTCTATAAAATTCTAGATGAAAGTCCAAATTTTATTAACTTTCACCATGCTACTGGTAATTCGTTATGTACGGTATAATTAGATTTTAAAGGCTTTCCATCTACTGCGTTTGAAAGATGTGGAGAAGGAAGAAGTGGTTTTAAAGACGATCTTGTACATCTCTACTCTATTTTATGTTCTCTTCTTCAGTGAAAAATGATTTGATTTGTATGAAATTTCTGCTAACATTTCATTGTTACATTCTATTTTTTTTTTCTAGTGAGTCAGCTATATTATTAATAGGATAGCGGTCCCGTGAATGAATGGGAGCCCCAAAACTGCTTTATTTTTAACGCGGCGCCAAAAATTTTTTAAAAGCTTTTTTTTTGGAAATTTTTTCTTTACGTTTAACGAGAATAGCACAAAATGGTTTAGTTCTAGATGAGATGAGAGGCAGAAAATTTTTCTCGAAAAATTTATATCTCACCATGATGTTTTCTTTCTCACACACAATTTATCTATATTACCTTGTTATGCGGTTGTTTTCAGAAAAGAGTTCCATTTCCTCGATCGACGAGAAAAAGATGTGTCTTGCTAGCCGATTTATCAAATTGCAGGTTTCTTTCTCGGTCTAATTGGCTAAAGATGAGTTATATCTTGATGATAATGAAACCAAGTTAATTGAGGATATAGGAAATCGCGGGTCAAAATTTGCTTGACAAGATCTACTGTAGAAAGGTGCGGATTGGGTGTTATATCCGCAAAAAAAATTGTAGCAACGATTAAAAAATAAAAGGCGAAGAGCGAGGGCTTGCCAATGCTGGAATATCTGAAATGTCCAAATCGAACGAACTAAATGAATGATTCGAATCGAGATTTATTCGAATAAGAAATTGTATTACGAATAGAAACCTCAACATAATACAATAATAGCGATGGAAACAACCAATTTATTAGCTCCACTAGAACAGAGATTTAATAATTGTGATAGCAAAGAAACACAAACAAAGAAACTAAAATGTGTTAATGTCACGCTTTGTAATAATTGTTACTAATACATAATTAAAAAACTTTCATTAAAGGCCGCAATCGGTTTTACTACAATATAAATGTAAGTTTCAAATGACTAGATTCTAAATATAGCAATGAAGGAAATAAAGTTTCTACAAAACTATTTATTCAAAAACTCAAGAATGCATGTTAACATACATCATTTCAATAAATAGTGGAAGGAACAATTTATGCCATGACAGTTACTACTGTATGGTGTATACATTGGGAATTTCAATAACCCGACTTTCCTTATATTACTGTTATTGTTAGCTTATAAGAAGAAAAATATTTGTATATTTTATCGAACTCCACATTCATTGTTCAATGACTCGTCTAACGATTTAGGATAATCAACATCTAACGCCAGCGCAAGGTTTAAGAAATAATCTGCATCAAACAAATCAACCAAAGACTTTTCATCATTACTGGCATGCGACCATGAAAAAATGATGATCGTTATGGATTTGTTGTAATAATAACTCAAAAGATTACATTTAGTATCTTTGAAATAAACCTATCTCAGGCTTATGCATATTCTATATGCAAAACACTCAACTGTCTTCTTGCGACAGCAGAAGATGGTGATTCACCTCTTGACATCATTGTTAGTGGTATTGACATATAAATCCATAATGTTATCATTTTGAGTTGATATTGTAGTTCTATATCAATGCTGGATTGAGTATCATCTGTTTCAAAATATTCCAAATCCAAATCATCATGATAAATATGAATTATGGATTCTTCATTCACATATCAGGTAATATCTAAATAAACAAATGTATTTACATTATGAATGTGGGTGATTTAATTATTATTTATAAATGATAAATAATAAATTATCACTTGGTTGCAATGAGCTTTGTAATAGCTTCAAACAAATGGATCGCGCTTCCCAATTGGAAAACAGTGGTATGATATATAGTTTTGATTTACACCTGAAACATCACCAGTTCTCAATTCTTAATATCCTTTAACTAGTAATTTGCAGCATCATGTTAATTTGAAGTTTTTAATCCTTTTGCATATTTATATGTTCACCATGTCGATATGTTCTTATAATATGATTTTGCCATCATACTATCTAGATTTGATCAATTGCCACAAGAAATAAATAAATCATGACATAATAGAAGCAGACGTTGAAATATAAAGATTTTTTTTTCTTCTTGATGTTAATATCAACCACAATTGGATTTGCAGCTGCCAATATTGAAGTACAAGCAATCAATAATACATGGGTACCAGCTGCCTCATAGCCTCATAGCTACTTTATCAAATATATCCATTTTGTAAAATTCGTCAATTCCACAAATACCCTAGATTGTTTAACAAATTTTGAATTCAAAGAATGCCATCAATACCAATAAATAGACAACCAAACAAACAAATTACTAACATTATCAGCCAACGTTAATGCACCAGCTTCTATAATAAATCGCCTGATTCTTCATCTTTTACAACGGCTTCTGTAAATGATTCACCTGATGTATAAACAGATCGTGGACTCATTGCTTGGACATCTCTTCTATAAAAAAGAAGAAAATGAACAGGATGTTTTTTTAAAAATCATAAAATGACCAATTACAATATAACCTTTCTATATGCTCACTTGAGAAATTGACTTTTACTAGTACTAGATCACTAGCAATACAAATGTTTATATATATCTCCACGAAGATTAATACCCTCTAGAGTACCCCACCTAATAATTGAAATAAAATTCCCTTCTTTATAATCTCATGACCTATATAAATAAATTATAATGCTTATACTATCTATATATATACATAACATATATATATAACAATTAAAACTACAAATCAAATACTGTAAAGGCAATATTTTGAACTAGTTTATTAACAATATCACTATCTTGGCCCATTATTTGCAATATATGTCACCATCAACTTTCCAAAATAAATTTTCAACTTTTAGGTAGAAAATTTATAATATTTAAGAACAATATAATCTACCTTTACATCAAATAAATATACAAGCAATATTTTATGAGTAAGTCTTTAGCTTTATACCATCAAACATCTTTGAATGAAAACTATGCTTTTGACATTCAATCTTTGTCCCAGCAAAATATCATTATATCAATAATTAATCAAGTGAAAATTTGTTACGAAAATTGTGCAGAATTACTCAACAAACACACAAGATAATTAGATTCATTCTATCCCAAAATTAACTCACATCTATTTTTCATCGTCACTTGTATTTTTCCCATTCTTCACACATATACTGCATCAACTCACTGAAATCATTGGTATCCTTTCTTCAACATTGTCTTTAATTATACGTCACATACTCTCTATTGGGTTGAGTTCGGGATTGTTCCATTCAACTACATTAATATTTTTTTGGTCAAAAAGCTTTTGCAACACGCAAAGTATGTTTTGGGTCATTATCCTGTTGCAGACGTCATTTTCTACCATGTAGTCTTTGCGCAGCAGGCAAAAGCTGGCTCTGTAATATGTTAGCATAATATGGTCCATCCATAGCTTCAGTGGAACAAAATAAAGACGTTTTTAATGGAATGCCACCTTGACCATCACTTTCTGACGAGATTTTGGTAGCCTATGAATTAATATTTGCCATCTCCTGATTTTATTTCTAAATGCTGTTCAGTAAATATGGGACGATCCATCCACAAAAATAAGACAAATAACCATTCCACCCTGTTGTTACAATGTCGATAAAGAGCTTCTGAAGAAGCTTATAAAGGGTTTGGAAATTTGCTTTTTTAACATTTGTCTGTAATTTTATGGTAAGAATCAAGAACGTAATCAAAAAAACATTTTGTTATACATGAACATTTACCTGAGAAGTTATTTAAGATGTTGGACAAGTCCATTGTCAAGTTCATGAACTTTGCTTAATAAATAAATAACATTATTTTCTCGTTCAATCAATCTTACGGGAGATTCTACAAGGAGTAAAGGTTTGCTTCTGTAATACATATCGCTAATGATTTATAATAAATTGCTTGGCCATGTTTTCTGTCCCCTCAATATGATTGCTCGTTAACATTGGGAACAGGGCTTTTTTTCATGTGCCACCAGATGGCAACATGTGAAATAGGATCATTATGACTTTGTTGGATGTCCATTTCCATGTTTATGGTCTATAGTATTTTATTTGAGCTTTTTTAGATTATATTAAATCGTGCAAAGTGATATCTTGTTTTTGTGTATTTCTTTGTGCTGAATAATTCCATTTAGCCAATAATGCTTAAATGTTTCAGAGACAATAATAAAGAACAAAATTAACATATATAGTCATATTAATATTATACGACGCGGTTTAATTAATTTCATACGTAATATAATCCAGGATTTTCAAACAATTAATAAGAACAATAATGATAAACAATAAAAGCAAGTTGGTGTTTTATACAATAAAAAAATTTAATATTAATATTAATAAAAAACCGGTTTTTCCGGTTCATTTTTGGAAAAATCTGGTTGAAATTATTATTATTATTATAGCAGCCGGATTTA